TGCTCTAACAACTAAAATTAGCTGATGCATCATCACATCATAAACTAAATATAAATCAAATAATCTAAATGTGTTACAATTTAAATGTAAATGCACATTGTTCTCAAAGGAATAGTTCAAATCAAAAATGAAAATTCTGTCATCATTTATGCAAGTCATTCCAAACCTGTACGAGTTTCTTTCTTATGTTGAACACACACACAAAGAGATATATATATATATATATATATATATATATATATATATTGAAGGTGTAGAACCATCTCAAGGATGATCAGAAGAAATGGACAGCACCTGAGTTAAATATATGAGTGTCACAGCAAAGGGTCTGAATACTTAGGACCATGTGATATTTCAGTTTTTCTTTTTTAATAAATCTGCAAAAATGTCAACAATTCTGTGTTTTTCTGTCAATATGGGGTGCTGTGTGTACATTAATGAGGGAAAAAAATGAACTTGAATGATTTTAGCAAATGGCTGCAATATAACAAAGAGTGAAAAATTTAAGGGGGTCTGAATACTTTCCGTACCCACTGTATATATTGAAGAATTCTGGTAATCAAACAGTGTCTGGTCCCCATTGACTTGCATAGTATTTCTTTCCCTAAAATGGAAGTCAATAGGGACCAACAACTGTTTAGTTCTTTAAACTTCTGTCTTTTGTGTTCAACATATAATAAAAAAGAAACCTATATAGGTTAGGAATGACACGAGGGTGAGTAAATGATGACAGAATTTTCATTTTTGAGGTTAACTGTTCCTTTAAGGAGGACATCTTCCCCCATCTCACCCTATCTTACCCTAATGCACCACAAAAAAACTTTGTCTCTCTTTTTCCTTTCATCTTGTAGTGCCCAGATTAAGACCACAGTGAAAAGGAAGCTGTATGAGGACAGCAGGGTACCTCTCACTGCAGAGTTGCCTAAAAAAACCATGAAGAAAACCACAGTGACGCTACCGCCGCCTCCTGCATCAGTCGCCCCCACTGTTATCGCTGTGCCGACCTCGCAGGTTGTTGTGACAACTGGATTGCAGAGTTCTTCATCTTTACAACCAGCAATAAAGAACCCTAAACCAGCAGGTGACTCAGTTTCAATGAAAAAGGATAAATAATGAAACAAAATCCAAGCAGTGTGGTTATATGTCTGTCAGTGCACTTACACAGTTTGGCTGTCTATTATCAGATGTGACTCTGAGTGCTCTGAATGACTCTGATGTGAACAGTGATTTGGTGGATATCATGGGGCTTGGAGAGGGTTCCACTAAAAAAACAAACTTTGACCAAGGTGAGTCACATTTTGAATGCATTGAAGGATAGAAATTAAAGAAAATTCAATGAAAATTCTGCCATCACTCACCCTTGTATCATTCAAAAACATTTTATAGTTCATGTGCATTCATTATGAAGCTGGAAAACAGGGTTTTTGCAAGTCTTAATTCACCCCTCCACAAATGAAGTAATGGCATTAAATCTTGCATGCACTGCAAAAAAATGAATGTCTTCGTCTCTATTTTTGTCTTGTTTTCCAATACAAGTATCTAAACATCTTGAAAGCAAGATACATTTACTTCACATGCAAAATGAAGATAGTTGAAGTCTTGTTTTCTGAGAAATTGAACAAAATTAGGTTTATGCCTAAAGCAAGTATAAATATCCATCAATGGGGTCAGAAAATGTTTTCCATTTAAATGAAGTTGCTTTGTCTGAGCCCATTAGCACTTTTTTTTTCTTGTTTTAATTGTAAATTCAATTCACTTTGATTTCACAGAAAAGAGGACTTCCTATCTTATTGCTATTCAGTGATTTAACAATCTATATATTTGCTCTGGAAAATATATTTGCTTTTAAAAATACGTTGCAGAAGGTAAAGTAAAAGGTATTTCCATGTTGTAGTTCAACTATATATTAAGTAATGGAAATCTGTAGGATGTTATTTTTTTTTCAAAATGCTGATGCATACTTATTGTGTGCTCCATAGACACATTTAGAGAACATATTGACGTTCCCTTTAATTTATTGCATGAATTTTCTTTAACTGGTCTTTAAAAAGTCTTAAATGTACCTTCATAAAACCTGCAGAAACCCTGTAAAACATTCATTCCATTCATTGTAATTGCATGTTTTTTATGCATTTCCTGCATTTTTCATGTATTAATCAAAATTGTTTCACAGATACTGATATCACAAATGACATGAAGGTGACTACATGGTGACAGAGTTTTCATTTTGGGGTAAATGAATGCATAGGAACAAAGTGTGTTGATTAAATGTGTTACATTTTCTTTCTTTTTTCTGGCAGAGAGCTTGAATCTGGACTCCAGTCTTATAATGAACTCCAGTGATCTGCCTCTGCTGTCCCGCTGATCTTCACTTGTCAGTAGAAGTGATATTCAGGTGCAACGGGGGTTTAGCAAAGATGACCAAGCTTGATCATTGCTGTACACCTCTACCACCTTTTCTGCTGTGGCTTCAAACAGCACCAGAACTGTACTACATCGCCAACCATTCTCTACCCACGTTAGTGAAGATGAAGTATTATTCCATGAAAAATAACTGCATCCTTAGCTCTTATTATGCAGCAAAAATAGATAATGGAATTATGTTTTTAGTGGTTCATGTTGTGTGATCTGATCTGCCCACAGCTGAAAAGGGGTTTACAAGACAGTGGTCAAACTACTTGTAAAAATCCTTCCTTTTTTAATTATTAGGCCCTTTTGGCTGAAGTAAAGCTTTGTGAAGTGAAGTGAGATGCTGCTTGTAATGAAACAACATCAAAAATAGTTTCAGGAAACTTTTACCATTTTCTTTCACTGCCACTGTATTAGGTGCAGCTTCTATTCTATGTATATATATAATTTTTTACCATTACAGAATAATTAAACTGGTCATTTCAACAGCAAACATAAGACATGCCTGCTTAAATTTTATTTGAACAAATCATCCCCTCATACAATTTCTTGGCTCGGCATAAAAAGACAGCATACAAATCAATAAAATGAGTTTTTATTATGATCTTTTTCATAAGAATATATGGTATAATATACATTTTATGGTAAATGAGATTTCTTCTCTGATAAATGGACATTCATCATGGGCGACTGAGAGGGAATAAATGTACTTTTGCTACCAATATGTCAAAAAATATCCATCTTTCACTTAATTTTTCTGGCTTCCAAAATATATTTACAACTTGAACGAAACCTATCGGCTTTGGCATTTCTTTACAATGTTTTTCGTGCGGTCACACAATCCATTTATTTTCTTCACAACACCACTCGATCATTTAAGGAGGACAAAGAAAGGACAAATCGTGATTCTCTCTCTCTGACAAACAGATACAACAGAACCTGTCGTCATAAGTGTATGGCAAATCTGAAAAAGAAATGACATGGTACTTATTCTACAAATGATTCAGAACAAACAGCTGTCAAGTCTTCCATTCAGGTTCTTGATACATACCTGGAACTGATTATCCCGATGAACTTGACATACTAATTCCAGCAACTTTAATGCATATTGCACATTTGTAATCACTTTTAAAGACCCATAAACATTGGTATCAAACTTTGAAATCTCAAGGACCCCAACAACTGGAAATTGCTAATGACAGTGCAAGTAACTTTGGAATTAAAACTAAAGCTGTAAGGCATTATCACTGAATTAAAAAAACTAAATGAGTAAAAATAAAAGGCAATGACATTATATCGAAGACTGAGCTGTATTCCTCCAGATATATGAATATGGAAACAGAGGAACGGCTTCAAATGTCTGATGTGCAACTTTAGAGACCGACAAGCTGCCGGTGTCCATACAATAAAGACTTTAGGAATCAAGAATTATGACAATGAAGTACATACTGCTACCAGAGCCTTTACACATTCATAAATAATGTAACATGCACCACAATCAACATTGTTTGCATAATGCTGTGAAGTATCATGGTAGATTTGCTTTAGAAGGGCTTCCAGTTCAATTAACTGCAGCGTGTCACTTTTTGAATAATACATTTTCTTAATAAAATCCATCCAGCTCAAACACCACAATTAAAGCCACAATCCAGAGAACTGCTGCTTTTACAGAAAAATCAGATCGACTTCAAAGATCTGAAAATATTTCCCAAGTGAAAGGATTCAAACATTACAAAACAAGACCCATTACAATAAAAGTAAATATGATCCCACTCATGTAACAGCAACATTGATATCTAACACTGTGCAAACAGTACAAGAGAAAGAGTATGATATCCACTGAAACCGTGAGTGAATCTATGTAGAAACGTGTTTTGTAATGCAACAGCTCATCCCTTGCAAGTATCTTAAGTCCTCAATTTCTGTACATAATTCACAACATTTAGGAGGGAAAAACAGTTTGACTAATGATTTTGTTGACCAATGTTGTTACTAGGCTCTAGGTCAGTTTTTGATGTGGACTTTTAACTGAAAGTGCTTAGCGTATACAACAACACTTAGCGTATACAACAACAACAACACCGGATTGTAGATGCGAAGTGAGACATCTAGTCTTTACAGTACATGTTTTACATGAATAGTTCAACCAAAAATTAAGATTTGCTGATCATTTTTTCTCACCCTCAGGCCATTCAAGATGTAGAAGAGTTTGTTTCTTCATCGGAACAGATTTGGAGAAGTTTAGCATTAAATCACTTACTCACCAATCGATCCTCTGCAGTGAATGGGTGCCGTCAGAATGAGAATCCAAACAGCTGATAAAAACATTACAATAATCCACACAACTCCAGTCCATCAATAAACATTGTTTAAAGCAAAAATCTGCTTGTTTGTAAGAAACAAATCCATCAAGGCATTTTAACTTTATACCATCTCTTCTGGATTATTGTGATGTTTTTATCAGCTGTTTGGACTCTCATTCTGACGGCACCCATTCACTGCAGAGGATCCATTGGTGAGCATGTGATGTAATGCGAAACCTCTCCAGATCTGTTCTGATGAAGAAACAAACTCATCTATACTGAATGGCCTGAGGGTGAGAAAATTGTCAGCAAACATACATTTTTGGGTGAACTATTTCTTTAAGTAAGCGATAAGCGAATCAAAATATGGGAGTTGCCTAAATGCACTGGGTATTGTTTCCAATGATTTAAAGAATATTTTTCAAACTCAAAAAGTTCAGTCCAAGCTAAAAGCTATATGGAAAAATAAACATATATACAGACTCGGATAAACGCAAGATAGAAACACAAGATTAATACCTACCAAAATAATATTCGATTATTCACATATTTATACACATTTATACAAAAAGTTGACATCTATGGCCAACTGATTTTAATACTCTCTATGCCTTAGTCCTTTTTTCTACGCATTCTGGACGTTGTGCCACTGTTGGACCCCGTTAATGGAAGCTGAAGATGTACCAAGATACAAAAATGTTTTGCCACAACTCGAGGAAAACGAAAAGGAGCAAAACTGGTCTTTCTTTTGAGTCTGTAAACTAAGGAAAGGGTCTAACCTGAACACTTTCATTGCAAATGTGTTATTGCAGATACTATTTCATATATACAGCAAACTATTCTGTAGGCACCGAAGTTCCATAATTATTCACAAATTACATGATAGCCTGCAGCATCCATGTTGTCATGTCAGATACATCCAGAAGATTTTGTCTTCTTATATTGCATCTTGAAATCAAAGTAACAACTAGTTCGAATTTCCTTCAGAAGTGATTGAGCTGAAATACTCTATTCAAAGCACCAAAATAAAGGCAGGAAAACAAAAAGGGACAGAACTGAGATTAGGTTGAAATTTGGTCTTCATTTTACAACACCTTGCATCCAAAGCTCTACAAGGTGATGATGTGATGAATACTGGGGTTTAGATGCTGGGGTGGTGAGAGGTGAAGGGAGGCGGAGGGGAGAGGGACAGGGGGGTGGCCTGGGTGTTTGAACCAACAGGAGCAGTCCCAGAGGAAGAGTCCACTGACTGGGAAACACTGTATGTATGAAGAGATTCATTAAGTGCTGAAGTAGATCACATAATGAAGCATGAGATTCTGTTCCATTTATTATTTAAGCGTCATTGTAAGACTCACCTGACTGTGTAACTGGTTATGTGAGCAGGGTCTGTGACTCCAGCGACAAAGAGCTTTTTGGGCGGACCGTCCGATTCCACTCCACCTGAGTAGAGGAAATGGGGAAAAAAAACAGACAGATAATGTAATATGACAACAAAATCACTGGAGAAACTGATTAAAAGATGGGAATTTTAATACTGGAACTGAATGACGCTGCTTGCAACAAACAAACAGCATCACTAGTGTAGCTCGATTCACAAACTAGTTGATTCTTTTGAATAAATCAGTCAAAATGACTCTTTTCTGATGACTCATTAAGTTTTAAACTCACCGTTACTATGTACTTATGAAACGCAATGCCAAAAAGTAACAATATAGAAAATGTATCCTTAGAATTACACAACACTACCATTCAAAAGTTTGAGGTCAGTGATTAAAAAAAATAATAATAATAATTTTATTCAGTCAGAATGCATTAAATTGATCAAAAATGACAGTAAATTTTTTTTTTATCATTTTAAAACTTTAAATTTTATTTTAAATTAATGCTGTTCTTTTCTACTTTCTATTCATCAAAGAGTCCTGAGAAAAAAAATCGGCCACTGTTTCCACAAAAATATTTGTTTTTTTTAACATTGATAATAAGAAATTTCTTCAGCACTAAACTAAAATGCACATTAGAATGGGGGATCATGTGACACTGAAAACTGGAGTAAATTCAGCTTTGCTATTCCATGAATCAATGACATTTTTATTTTAAATTGTTATATTTCATAATATTACTGTTTTACTGTATTTTTGATCAAATAAATACAGCCTAGGTAAGCAAAGATTTTTTTCTTCAAAAAAACATTACAAATCTTACCAGCCCTGAACTTTTGAATGGTAGTTTTACTTCATACAAAAAAAGATACTACCAATAAAATATTAAAAGTTCTAGTAATAATAATTCTTTCATTGTAGTCATTAGGATTCCTATCCTTTCTGATAAGTTTCTAATGTTTGAAACAACATTAGAAACAACAGGTTATAAATCATTACCTTTCCTTTTCAAAGGTGCAACTGATGGCCATCTCACGCCAGAGCTCACAAATCCTCTGTTCATTCAAAAACAAATCAAAATCTTTGTTCAGAAAAGATATTTGTGTCTCTTGTTTTTTGAACTAAAGATGAGACCAAATTCCTGCTAGTATTGACATTTGAAGGATATACATTCTAATACTGTAGTTTTATTCATTAACTCAGGCCTACCCTCGAAACCTCCGAGTTGGACTGGGTGAGGAATTAGGAGTGACACCGCTGTCCTGGGAATGGAATCCCTGCATGGGACGTACAGAGGTGAATAACAAGAACGACAATGGATTGAAACCCAAAGAGAACTACTCACTGGAGACAGATGGTCATGCCAATGACTCGCAGGAGGGAAGGGAACAGCAGGCGAGGCACTTAGATGAGAGGAAATCAAGTTAAAATAAGTGAATATTTTGATAACCCTTTCATTTATGCACAATTTTGTGTTTGGTTACCTTAGTCTCTGTAAACTTCCTCTCAAAGTGAGCTCCATATTCTCAATCTGGACGACACACATTGTACAATAAAACATAACTTCCCTGAATTAATGTTTCTTTAGATACAAAACAATTGTGCCTACTAATAAATCTCTTCCCAAAACTACAATGGATTCTTTCTATCTCTTTTAATTTGAAAGTAAATGCAGGATACATGTACTCAACATACTCGGGAACTCATTACTGTTTAAAAGCATCACAGAATCGATTCTTTAGTTCTCACCTGTCTCTTGTGTTCGGATCTCTCACAAGACAGCGAGAATGGGGACAGAGGAAGGGTCTGTAACGCAAATGAGTTATATAGGTTTATTCGAAGTTTTTAGAAAACTAAATGCCCAAAACTGATATTCACAAACCATCTGAACACTCACCCGTGAGGGACAGCTCGGGTTCACAGAAACGCTGCTCCGACGATACCGAGTCGAACTATTAGAGCTGAATACTGTCGTCCCATCACTGCAGCACCAGCAAACAAGAGTTTAGTTTAAAAGAATGTTTTGGGATTCAATTATTTATCTACATGATTCAGTAGTGTATATTGCTGTTTTAAATGAATTCACAAGGTAATGAATATTGGGTTGCAGCAGTCATTGCAGTTCCCTCACCTGACGTTCGTGATCATGGGGGCGCTGTTGGACCTTCGGAGGGCTCCTCCTGCGCCTGCGCACTGGTCCACCTCCATCCTCTCCATAGCTCGTCCTCTGGCGCCGGGACTGCGCGTCACTCGCGGCCGGCCTGAACGCGACCTGACGCGGCCTTACCCCCAAATCTCACCCGGCAAAAGCCCGACCAGCAGGCCTCACGCCAAAATACCCGATCCAATTTAACTGAGCGGACTGCTTTCCCGTGTCTATCGCATTTTGTTGAAGTTTTTAAACGAAATAGTGTCAGCTTGATACACTAATTTAAAGAACAGATGTGAGCTCGAGCCACAGCTGGTTTATCGGATCGCACTCAAACTTAGTATAAACTCCTCAGGTTGCTTTCGTCGGCGTAAACATGAAGCAAATACAGTTATTTCTGTGCATTAAAGAGACTTTTCGTATTCAGTCCACAAGTTAGGTATATTCAGCATTATTTCCAATGCAAAGCCACCAACTCGACAAGGTCCTTTAGCTTTTTAATCCAATCCAATTTATCCGAACAGAGCAAATACAACATCAAAAAGCAAAAACAGCACATAAGCGAATTAACACGGATCAAAGTAGTCAGAAAACAAGCTTTCGGGTCTTTTCGGTCAAATGTTGCGATAAAGGTGAAGCTTTCTGCCACGGCTTATTTTTTCAAGTTTACCTGCTAACGTTAGTTTGTAAAGCAGTCGGAAATATGACATAACACCATCCCGATCAAACATGTGATCGTCGGCTCTGTCGGTGAAGGCATCCTCAGCTGAAAGTCTCTGCTGATACAGTCTGAAACCCGGGATACATTAAAAGTTTTCGGTCATTTCTTAATTTAGAAAATAAAACATATTTCCCGCAACCAAATAGAGATTGTGCATCCCCTTGTACAACAGCGCCTCGCTCTGGTAGACAAGAGAATTGCACAGAGATAAAGCTCTGCGCTCAAGAGAAGTGAGTATGTGGCGTGCAACTATTTACTGCGTATTCTTTTGCCAATTATTCTGGCCTTAATGCAAGATATATAGAGTTTGCTTTTGAGATGTGTCTGAGATGTGTTTTGCTTTTCAAGTGTCACCTTGGGATGCATGACAGTCATACTAAACCATCATACATCAGTAATGCACTACAAAACTGTATTTGGACAAGGTAAACGTGCATATAAAATTTAATTAAGTTTTGATGTAAAAAAAAGAAAGAAAAGATTTTCATGATTCCTAATGCATTAACTAATTTTAACAAATCAAATCAACCCCCTTGTAAATGGCTACAAGTAAATTATGCCAATGTTAATTACATTATAACAAATAATAACATTTCATGCTAACGTTTTATGGATTTCACACTCTTACATATTCAAGATTAACCATTTACCATAACCGTAGTGAATTCTATCATAACATTCATAAAACAAATATTTTCAGTTGTTTATGAAGTGGTGAATTCTTATGAATTTTACACTCTTACATATTCATGCCTAATCACAATGGTAGTCTGAAAGTGTGTGTCTGTGTGTGTGTGTGTTCAAGGTAAACATAAATTTAAACAAAATAAAATTAATGTGTGGTGTTGCTTATGAATTAGTGAATGTTTAGGAATTGCAATCCAAGCAGAAAAGAAGCATGGTCATTTACAATGAGCTGAAAGTATGTTTTTTTTTTAAAGTTTGATTTGGAAAAAGTTTGTTTTTTATTTTTAAGATACATTCGAATGAGTTTTTATTCACTACAGGATCTTTATTCAATTGTAAAAGTACGTGCAGTTTGACAGTTTCAGGATCTCGACAGCATACAGGTCATATTAGTCTTGCTAATAGTGTGAGCAAATCGGTTTAATTGTCACAAGATGTCAATTAGTAACTTTTTGCTTCCTGTTTCTTTTGTATATTATTTTGGCCTGTTGACTGTACTTTACTTCTAGTCAGTCAGCAATTAATAACTTATTTTGTGCATAAGAAATGCCAGTTTTATACTTTCATAAATTCTTATTTCAATATTATTTACTGATTCCATTTTTTTTTTAACTCACCAACTCCCAAAACATTATGTTTAAAAGAGATACTTGGTCACAAACTAGCATAAAACATACAGCAATACTTAAGATTGTGTGAAATTGCTCAGTAGCATGAATGAATAATAAATAAAATGAAATCTAGAGCATTAAAAGTAGGTCTGTCCCATAGAGACTATGCATCTATGTTATTCCTGAAGATTTCGAGTCACTTTCATGAGCTTCCTCTGCTTTATGTGAATTGCCTTGCTCTTGATCCTCAGCCTCTTTCTGTCCTCCAAGAATCTGTAAAGGCCAGAGCAGGTGGGTGTTGTGACCGCCGCTGGTCCGTCCACAGCAGGCTAAGCTTTTGTCTCCTGTTAAGAAATAAAGGAGTGCATTGAGCCAGGAATTGCAGGAAGCCAGCGGCCGAGTGATCTTGTAGCAAATGGAAACCATCCGCATGGTTTGGCACTCGACGGCCTTGGTTTCCTTGAGGACGAGGAAGAGAGTGCGTGTGATGTGGAAGGGCAGGAAGCACAGCGCGAACAGGATGGTGATGGTGATGATGGTTTTAATGGACTTGCGCCGCCTATTGAGGTACGGTGCATGTGGAGAGCCAGAGATGGACACGGACGTCCTGTCTTTGACCCCTTCGACCCCGCTGCACATTCCCCCTTCCTCTTGCACCTGGGGCTGGGAGTGAAGCGTTTGGAAGATGGTCCACACCACCTGTGAGTAACACCATGCAATGACGATAAAAGGGAAGAAGAAGCCCAGAAGGTGTAGAACGATTCCATAAGGCACGTATTCAGAAAACTCACTATCAATTGCATCATCCCAACAGTTCCTATATACCTCCACCTCGACTTTTCCAGCATCTCCACTACTTTCCGACCAAGAATCGGTTCCTTCGTTCACCCCACCTCCGATTTTCCTCAAAACATCCCCTGTTTTGGCAAACCGGACGATTGGGCATGTAAGGATGAACACTATGACCCAAACAGTTGCGCAAATGCCCCTAACCGCCCGCTTGCTCTCCAAAGCAATGTTTCTGATCGGATGACAGATTCCCATGTAGCGATGGACGGATATACAGGTGAGGAAGAAGATGCTGCAGTACAGGTTGAAGTAAAACAAGAAACGCACCAGCCTGCACATGAAGTCTCCAAAAACCCAATGGTCACGCATCACATAGCTGGCCACGAGGAACGGCAGCGAGAAGCTGTACATCAGATCCGTGGAGGCCAGATTGACCATGTAGATCAGCGAAGTGTTCCACTGACGGCCGCTCCTGCACCGGTAGGACCGAAGGAGGACGGTGGAGTTCAGGACGAGGCTGAGCAAGAAGGTCAAGGAGTAGCACAGAGGCAAGATGATGTACTTGTAGGACTCGTCGATGCTGCAGCTGTGCGGTGTGCTGTGGTTATGAACATCTGGCTGCAGTGATACGTTGGAGATTGAAGTCATAGTCTTCATGATCAGCTGTCCTTGATCTTGTTACCACAGAGCCACATCACTGTCTTCTCGAGACCTCTTCAGCTCCACATTCTTCAGCCTTCAGGATATCCTGTGAGGACATCGCTCCAAAATGGAGAAAACAGAGGAGCGTTATATAGTTTTACTGTGATTGCATTGTAAATCTGGACTTTCTTGTAGTCCGTCCTATAGTTTATTTCCAAGCAAACTGCAGGTTGACCAATGACTCAGTCCTTCAACTTTATCTGTCTATAGTGCTGAATCGGCCTCTTCTGGTCTATTACCCCATCAATCAGTAACAAACTATTCCGTAAACCCTTCATTCATCTTTCCATCCCCCATTTTTTGAGACCCATATACAGTATTAGACGAGTTCTTTCGCACTGCGGTTTTTCTTCACACAAATTAAGAGGTATCAACACGCGCCACTTCCTGGCCCAACTGACCCTGTTTGCAATGAAAACTGCGAAGCGTGTGCATTAAGATGCCTAATTTATGGCTAGACATGGCTGATGCATTCATCTATATGCATAGTGCCTACATAACATGGAGCAGTAATGACAAAGTCTCCATGTTTGGTTCATAAAACACTTGAGTTTGTTTGATGAATATGCTTGTGTACTACAGAGGCAGTTTTGGTATTACAATATCATGTGTCCTTGCAGGTATGTTCCAGTAAATAATTAATTCCCATTCATTCAGACAAGAAATGCTGATCGGAAACCCAATCCAGCGTGCAGTTCAACACAAAACCATGCATATCGATTATAAACACCTTGATTTGATTATTAAAAGTTAGAAAATGTAAACTAGAAAAAACGTGATAGTATTATAGAGATTGAAATGACTGGATAGGTCATCCTTATTCATGTAAAGCTATTTCTTTTTATAGCATTAAAGCAAAGTTTGTTCTGATACATGTAGACCATTGAAAGTAGATCTAAATGAAATATCTTACCTGCTTAAAGGTCGAGAAAAAAGGTAACTTGAATGTGCAGCCAAAATGCATTCATTTCTTCACACATTTGATAAAAGGTCAGGACGAAAAGTTTAGTACTTTTTGCTGCACTTCTTGAACTACAGTCTCTGTGTACAAATTACTTTCTCCGTTTGGTATCCAGATCTGCTAGGTTTTACTAATCAGTAATTCTGTGTGCTTTCTTGTTTTCTCTCTGGTCTCTGTGCCCTCTCTCGCTCCCTTGCTGTTCACTGTGCATGAATGGTCAGTCAGCTGAGCTGCATGCAGTTGAGTACATTTATGTACAGCAATCTAACGGAAACACACAGGTTGTTATGTAAAACATAGCAGGGCTAAACAAGTTTTGTCTTATAAACCCCCATAACCCTCACCAGTAACACTCAAGTAGTCATTCATTAACATCAAACCAAATATTTTTTCTATTAACTCATATTATACTGTTTATAATATTGCATTGTCATTAATGGAATAGTTGACCCAGAAATGAAAATTAGCAGAAAATGTACTCATCCGAGATGTAGATGAATTTGTTTCTTCATTGAAACAGATTTGGAGAAATTTAGCAGTACATCACTTGCTCACCCATGGATCCTCTACAGTGAATGGGTGCCATCAGAATGAGAGTCCAAACAGCTGGTAAAAACATCTCGATAATCCACACAACTCCAGCCCATCAATAAAGATGTATTAAAACAAAAAGCTGCATGTATGTATAGCAAACAAATAATTTAAGGCATTTTAACTTTATACCATCACTTCTGGATTATTGTGATGATTTTATCAGCTGTTTGAACCCTCATTCTGACGGCACCCATTCACTGCAGAGGATCCATCGGTGAGCAAGTGATGAAGTCCATTATTAACATTTCGTGAAGTGTAACAAATCCATCATAAAGGAGATTTAACTTTAAACTCTCACATCTGACCAAAATTCAAATCCATAATCCATAATAACACTTTTTCCAATGAAAAAGTTCATCCCCTGTAGTCATTTAACATCAAAATTAATCAACATTTTAGACTGTTTTGGCTTGTAAATGGAGCTTGGTCTGTGCATATTTCTCTCCTGATTCAGATGAGACAACTTTTTCATTGAAGAAATCAATATTATGGGTAGAGGACTTGTATTTTGGCCTGAAACAACAGTGTGAAGTTGTGATGCCTTTATCAGCTATTTGGACTCTCATTCTGACGGCACCCATTCACTACAGAGGATCAATTGGTGAGCAAGTGATATAATGCTACATTTCTCCAAATCTGTTCAGATGAAGAAAAACTATCTACATCTTGGATGGCCTGAGGGTAAGTCCATTTTCAGCAATTTTTCATTTTTGGGTCACTTTAAATCAATACTGTCGGTGGGAAGTCAAAAAAGTACACATTTATTCATACAAATGTATAAAAATGTGCATTACTTTATTTATTATTTATTTTTCATAAAAAATCAATTGAAAAAATATCACAACATTAATTCTGACTTTAATCTATAAGGAACCACAAAAGGAACTTAAGTATCTTTTAATGCAGAGTATGTATGGCATAACCGCTTGTCCCAACGACTGTGCATAAAATAAATGATTTATTAAATTATTGTGAATATTTAGCACTGAGATATACTTCATTCTCATGTATAAGTTCGATACACAGGAAAGTTATAAGGCACATTCATATGACGGCATTTCATGGCGATTACATATACTGTATTTCAATGGAATGCTTAAAGTAACTGATGATTAATACATCACAGTTATTGATCACATATGGCTTTGACAGCAGCTCAATATATTCTCTATTTATGGAAGTAAAATTAAACTGTAAGTGACATATGATCAGAGCCATTAGAGTTTGTTATAAGGCACTTTTTCCCACAATAAAACTTGTGACTATAATAAATGTGACTCACATTTGAACAAAAGTTTCTGTGAGGGCTACATTTCTTCAAGAATAAACAGGATATTCTGGCCTTTGTTAGTCCACAGGATGAGTAACAGTAAATGACTGCTTTCAGAAAGTGCCAACGTTAAACTGCAGTTACACAGTGTTCCAAACAAAAAGATCGTTCATAATGATGTCATATCCTGTACATCCAGGAGCAAAGCATCTTGCTTAGTCCGAAGGTGGTCCCGTACTACGAGATGTTTCACCAGTTCTGAGCTCAAATCTAAAAGCATGAATCAAATTAGTGCATGAATCACTATCTCAATGGCATTTGAAAAGTGCAAAAACATTTTGGAAAAGAGTTTAAAGAAGCATTAAAAAACTGCACGACATTTGTGAGTTGTATTATTGATTGAAAATGTTGTTGCTGCAGTTCAGATACTGCAAATTGTATCACTGAGGAAAAGATACCTTGAATGTCCTCGTTCAGCGAGGCCCTGAGCGCATTCAGCTGCAGTAAAGAGCATGTCTGCAGATCACTAAGGCTAAGAATATTTCTCCTTATGTTCATGCTACTGTGGGTGGCTTGCTGAAAATAAAACAAAAATATGCACAAAATAAATACCAGAGAAATTACCACCAAGACAGTCACACAAAAAACCACACTGGATTACATTCAGATAACACTTACACTCCTTTGCCTTAAAGGCACAGAGTACAACAGTAACATTCCAGAAGTAAATATTAGTGCTGTCAAACAATTAATCGCGATTAATCACATCCAAAATAAATGTTTTTGTTTACATAATATATGTGGGTACTGTGTATATTTATTATGTATATATAAATACACACACATGCATGTATATATTTAAGAAAAATGCTATATTTGTATATTAAATATACATAAATATTTTCAAAATATATACTGTATGAATGAGTGCGTATTTATATATACATAATAAATATAAACAGTACACACATATATTATGTAAACAAAAACTTTTATTTTGGATGCAATTAATCGTGATTAATCGTTTGACAGCACTAATATATATAGATATATATAGATATCTAAGTAAATTAATGTTTATTTCAGTAAGAATGCATTAAATTGATCAAAATTGACAGTAAAGACATTTTCAGTGTTACAAAAAATTATATATCAAATAAATGCTGTTCTGTTGAACTTTCTATTCATCAAAAAATGTATCATCACTTCCACAAAAAGAGGCACTGTTTTCAGCATTGATAATAATAAAGTAACAAATCAGCATTAGAATAATTTCTGAAGGATCATGTGACACTAAAGACTGTGGTAATGATGTTGAAAATGTAGCTTTACCATCATTACAATACAATAAAATGACATAAAATATATTAAAATGGAAACCAGCTTTTTAAAATTGTAAGAATATTTCACAATATTACTGTTTTTACTGTAATTTTGATCAAATAACAGTTACAATTTTGATCAAATACGCATAAGATAGGTTTTTTTTATTTATAATTTTTTATACTTACTACGGGTATATTATTTTATGCTTCAAATGAAAGTTTGAAATGTTGTGAATCATCCCAGAGATGGCTGGTTTGGTTCATTACAGGAACTTTTTATTGAAGAATTTTTTTGAAATCCATGTGGAGAAAATGAAAAGGGAAAAATCTGATTTTCTGCCATCATTTACTCACCCTTATGTGATCCTGTGGAACTTTATCCTGTGAAACACAAAAGTAGATATCTTGAATGACACTTTTATGGTGTTTTTGAATCCATTTTGAAACTTGAAAGCTTCAGTCCCCATTACAAGCTCCATTTTTGTTTTGTAAGTGCATGCATAAACCACCCAACGCATTCTCCTTTTGTGTTTCACGGAAGAAAGACAGTCATGCAAGACTGTTGAGTGAACTATGTCTTTGAAACCTCTCACCTCTTTCTCCTTCTGTTCGGCCCATAGCTTGTCTCTGAGAGTCCCGAGTGCTGCTTTTACTTCCTGTTTTAGCCCCCGAGAGCAACTCCCACGTACCTCTGCCTCACATGAACTCTGAGGATAACAAAAACCTAATGCTTTTCGCAACCTCATAAATCACGACCTGAGATACAACTCAGGAAAACTACTATCACGAATCTGCACCCACCTCT